GTTCACCGGGCCAGGATAAGTGTTCATTTTCCCACAAAAATAAGTGTTCACCGGGCCAGGACAAGTGTTCACTTTCTCACTAAAATAAGTGTGCACCGGGCCAGGATAAGTGTTCACTTTCCCACCAAAATAAGTGTTCACCAGGCCAAGATAAGTGTTCATTTTCGCAACAAAATAAGTGTTCACCGGGCCAAGAGAAGTGTTCATTTTCGCACCAAAATACAGGATAAGTGTTCACTTTCCCGAAATTGAGTGTTGAAAACCATACCCAGATATAACCGAAATCGGCCAGCCCACCCCGGGGGTCGATGTACTATTACAGGCAGGGTCATAGGTATAGGTCCACACCCCAAGCAGTTTGTACATGCATAGATCTGCATGAGTGTCTTTGCTAGCTTGTGCGTTTATTTGCTTTGCACTTGCTTGTTGCCGGTGCTTACGTGCGCATTCGTGCATGGCAGGGACCATCATTTACATTAAATGTCTGTGCAATCCTTGGTGCTGCTCTCCCTGTCGCTCTCCCTCTCTGGAGATTTCCGTCCGGGTTCCGGCAAGAAAAGGCAGGATCAGTTTTGTCACCCTTTTGAGGCGTTGGCATCGTGAGGAGCGCTCAGAGCCTGCGCCCGCTCTGCAGGCGAAGAGCTCAGGAAAAAGTACGAGAGCAGAGCATAAAAGAGGCCGAGTGAAAACTGACTCTGTCAGGAGGAGACGCAAGCTGCCAGTCCAGAGGAGCCGCAAGCAGAAGGCTCTTGGGATGGAGCCGTGGACAGGAAGTTTCACATTTGCGCACCCACACTTGTCTTGTTGTTGGTAGTGACACCGGACGGGGAACAGTTCCGAACAGAGAATCGGTGGTCGTCGCGTTCGTATTGCATTGCATGTTCTTCTTTGTGTTGATGCACCGGATCTTCGACCGCCAGGTAGCACCACTGCCAGCAGCAGTCTGGGGCCTCCAGCTTCCTGCTTTGCGGCGTTCAGTCGTCCGCCATCTGAGGTTCAGACAGTTCAGGCGCGCAAGCCGTTCCGGGCGACTCAGGCGGTGGCATGCGATGGTGCAGTGACTTTAGTTTGAGCCGAAGATCGATCCCTGCGAGGAGCGCTTGTGCAAGTACTCTCAGGGTATACCTGTGCTGGGGAGGCTACACGACCGTCATGCTGCGGAACATCCCCAACAAGTACACCAGGGAGATGCTCGTGAAGCAACTCAACCAGGACTCGTCCAGCGAGGCATTATTCAGCCTCTGGGTTGCTGAGACTCCGAAGATGATGATCTGTCTTGTCGCGTTAATGTGATATCAGCTGCAGTTTGTCACAGCTCAGCGTCCCAGAAGCTGCGCGGTTCAAGCCTGCAGCAGCCTGATAACTGGGAAAGGCTTGCGTACCTGCGAGGATTTCAAATCACGATTTGACTTCGTTTACTTGCCCATTGATTTTAAGAACAAGTCCTGCTGGCATGGTTTTACCAGCATCGGCAGTGGTTAAGATTGGTTGAGAGCAGTCGAAACGGATAGGCTGCTAGGAGTAACTGGTCTGTCTGTACTTGTATTTGCCAGGTGCAACGTGGGCTATGGATTCATCAATTTCCGTACATCCGCAGCCTGCGACGAATTCATCGCGAAGCCGGGGCCCAGCAAGAGAAAGTCCTTCAATAGCCTTGGACGCCAAATTCACTGCATGGCAATTTTGCAAAGCCTCGCACCGCCGAGGTATGATGGTGTCGATGTTCGCAAGTGCCTCCCTGGGTCAGGTTCTCGGAGACACAGGGCGTCAGCATGCGGAACCTCCCAGTGATACTCCTGTGACGCAACCCATTCTGGACCGGTGTGGGCTCAGAGCAACGATTCCCTGTTCCGCGCCGCAGGCTGAACTCCAAAAAGGTCGCTGGAGTGACGCCTGCTCGCGTTCAGGGCCTCGAGGCAGATGCAGCCATTCCGAAACTCTCAGGAATCTCTGCTTGACTAAATTATGGACAGCTTGCGCCCACTTGGTCAGGAGAATGTCCGGCGCCTGCGAACAGGCGCCAAGAAGCCTGCTCTCTTTTCTGAATGCTGCGAAGGTCAGGCAAGGTTTGCTTGAGGTGAGATGCCTTTCCCTGCGAAGGACCCGTCATGAATGAGCTCGTCAACCATCCAGAATGGATGCCCCTGCTGCTGGATGAGAACGGAGAGGCGACCTTTGATAATGCAAGCAATGTGCATCCACCTCTGCTCCTACTGGGTAGCAGACTCGTTCTGTAGCTAAACACCATTAGACTGGCAGGCATGCACACAAGCATAGCGCCCAAACGCCTAGGCATCTTCATCCGTCAGTATAGAGTTTAGAGAGCGAGACAGAGAGAGAGAGGGAGAGAGAGAGAGAGAGGACCTCATCGTGCTGTGGTCTCACACAGGATCTGAGACTCACAGTGCGCGCTTGCGTGCGGGGGGTAGCGCCGGCTGCTCCTTTGGCTGTGTGGAAGAAGAGAGAGAGAGGGGGAGCCTCTTCGTACAATGCTCAAAGTTGCCCTGGGGGAAACATACCTGTTACCATGTTTAACTTACGTGCAGTCGGTTTGCATTCCGCCAGGGGGCAGAGAGTGAGTAGTATAACCACATGCCTCAAACAGTCATAGGGGGGATCCAAGGCCACGAGTGCTGTGTTCCAGTTGCGTGATGATGTATGACTGCTGTAATTTTTCGTCGTCCAGGCCGGGGACTCAG